ATCGTCCACGTCTATACGTATGTTGTCAAAGCATAGAACAGATAATCGGTGCTTGACGGAACTATACACGCGAATATTTCAACCAAAATAGTTCCAAACTGATTCTGGTCGTGTTTTTCTTGCTTGAAATCACATTTAAAAAAATTAGAGATTTTAAAGTTTAAATCCGCCATATTTGTTATGATGTAGTTATGACGTAGCAATGGTCAAGGTTTGTAATCTCGACTAAGAAGGATAAAAAACTAAGAAAACAGCAGCGAGGAGAGCGATAATGACTCAATTCTCGACATGGATCTTATTCCAGACGTTGTATTACGTCCAATCATGTTTTAGCCCTAACATAGCTCGTGTTCAGAAGAAGAAGAAATCGCCATTGACGAAGCAACTCAGTAAAAAATAAAAGGAGAAACATCTACGAGCTCACGTCTTGGAAATTGCGAATGGTGCTCTTGCTCTTGATGATCAACTCGATCTGGAATCGAAGATAACTAATTCCTCTCAAATAAAATACTTGTCTCTAAAGTGACATTTTTTTTAGTTTTTACTAAAAAACGGCGCAGCGCCGGCGACGGATTTATTTCACATCGCTAATTCTGTGATGTAAATTATTATTGAAACTGTAGGAACCAGGTTTCGTTGTATTACTGAGCACGGATCATTTGGACCCGTGTGTTTACTGGCCAATGTTTTCAAAACAGCCCTTGTTGGCTTTCACCAAGTGAGAAATGAGAGACTTGAAGATTATCCGTCAAATGAGTAAGCAACGACAGAATAAACTTTTTTTTTCTCACAAAACTCATGCATACAAAACGCTTAAGTTGTTTGCAAGTTAACCTGATACAAACCGAAAAAGAAAGACAACGGCAGTTTATTGTCAGCTATTTTATTAAAAGTGTTGTTGTAATCTTTTGAAGGGCCAAATTCACCGTAATATTTAACTGCAAATAGACCTTTAAGAAAATTACCATACAAGCTACTTTGGGAAAATAAATATAGGATATCTGCCGTTCTAGGTTTGTTTCATATATATAAACAAAGCCTCATGTTACATGAAGAGCGTCAGGAAGTCTCCCGTTGTCGAACATTGTTGGCTTATGATATCGATCTTAATATAAATGACGCCTCAGTGCTTGGCGAAGTAGAATTTGTTTGTTTTAACTGCATTTGTCTGAGTTCCGTTCCGAACTGGACAAAACGAATTCGAATTCCTGAGGAAAAGTTCTTTCAACAAAAATAAAATTTTCTAGACCGCACTTTCTCTTTAAAAAGCTCTTAAGAGAGCTTTAAAGAGCTCCGTCGAGGAAAAAAAGCGCAATTGATTGTACAACATGCAACCAAAAGCCTTCTTAACACATCGTTTACATATTTAAAGGTTACTATATTACTTTTTAATACTCACCAACCGCTAGTGCGAGAAAAACCATTCTCCAGAACAATTTAGCTACAGTTTTCTTTCGAAGTTTAGGATATGAATTCGGCATTTTTAGGATCACCGTCTCGTGAAACAATGATGAAGGTATTGGTCTGTGTCCAGTGACGTTGGGCAGACGTTAGACACAGAGATACGTTAGATCTTGAGCGAACAAGGAAGAAAGCAGAGACCAAACTAGGCGTGAGTTTCTAAACACATTATTCCTTGGGTTTGTTGGCACTGAATCGACCAGCTGGGTCCTTATTTTCTTTATAAATTCAGACAATATTAATACCAAGACATGACTAGAATTATATCTCGTATACGAAAGTGCCACGGAAACCACTAAGAAGTGGCAGGTGGCAACTGCTGTTGTCTTAATTTGAAATAGCGGATGACAAGACAAAGAGTCGCAGCACGGTTTTTTCCCGGTATTTTTTAAAATTGTTATTCACCCATAGGTTGGGCACACACTGACGTATTTGTATTATTGACATCGCAACTGAGAGACGTGTAATGAATGATCATTAAAACAAAACAAAGAGTGTTCAACTCATTAGGTGTCTTCATTGGAAACTGGGCCGAATTTCCTAGTTTGCATGACGAACTGAAACGAGGTTGAGAAAGTTTTATCTGTTTAAAGAGGAAATTTTCAACTTAATGATTCATTATGTCTACCAGGGGAAATTTTCGTGTTAAGCCTCCATCTAATTACAATATTTTCCTTTTTTTGGCATCCCTAAATGAAAGACGAAAAAACTGAAACAAATACACCTTAAAAGAATTATACCTCCTCTGCTATCTAAGTGGTGTTTTACGAATATAGACTTTCTTGAGAGACTAAAACTTAGCTAAGCTGACAGCGGATAGCAATTGAAGGATGTAAAACAAGGATTTTAAACATTACTCTATTGGTATCAAAGGGAAATATAACATCTCATTTTAATGCCGGCAAAACGAGAATTATTAGGTCAAGGAGACAGAGGAAAACGAGAAAACGAAAAATTAAGACGGACTTGAGGATGTGATAATCATCAAACGTCTGCGAGGCCTTCAATCATAAACCTACTAATGGAAAATTCTCGCATATTTTAGCATTGCAATAAGGCGCCTTGGCCTCGTGTTCCCAAAGAAAACTTCATAATCTTCACTTGACGTGCGGCGCTTATCAACTTTACATAAAATAATGGTTAAATAAGTCCTTCTGTACAAAAAATTTGAAATACTACCCACTTCAATCATACGAAGAAGTGTTTCTGTCATCCTTGCGTGTAATTATTAAAGCAGATGTCTCCGAACCATGATTACGGCGCATATTCGTCTATTACATGCACTACTATTTTCATTATCATTTTAATTTTAAAAAAAGATATATACATATATACATATATATATATATATATTGTTGTTGTTGTTGTTTCGTTTCGTTTCGTTTCATTTTTTTTGTCTTTTCATTTGCTATAGACGTAAGTCGAGAAGTATTGGCCACAAACTCTCATACTGAGGTGCTTTTGGTATCAATGGACAGACGTCAAAACAACGGAAATGCTGACCAATACCTTTATTTATATCATTGGCTCAGACTACTTAGTGCAACAGATTTTGAAGAAATACTTGCGTGATCAGTGCTGAGTTAACACTTCATGAATCAAGTTATAAAGAAGAGGAAGTCCACTGACCTAAACGTTAGACAAATTCCGGGCTCGGAAGTGCATTTTTTTTTTCTGTGTTCCCTTGCCAGATTTATATGGGTCTGCATGAAATATGTTCATATGAGTTATTGACCGAGCGTAAAGTCAGGATGGCTGGATATTGGCCGGGTTCTATTTTTGCATTTAAAAACGCAGAAAAAGAACGAGGCTAATATTCAGCCACCTCGACCGAATAGGCTTGGTCAAGAGAGTTTACAATCTCTTGACTTGGTCAATAAAGGACTTACGATATTGAAAAAATATTTTGCTTTAATAAAAATCAAGAACGACTTGTTTATTTTGAGAGCCGAGAAAGAAAGCCACCGTGTGTGCGACACGATAAAACCAAGAAGGTTGTTTGATTTTTTCTTTGTTTTGACTGCTTCTGCCGCTTCTTGCGACTTCGTTGCTAACACTGTCAAAAAGTTACAAACTTTGTAAGTCCGCTTCACGAACTTTTTTTCTTGTGCGGGACATAATTGTCCAAATCGCGTTCTCTTGGGGAGAAAAGTATATTGTTCATATTCATATACTCATGAAGATATTCGAGGGTTTGAAAGTAATCGCTTTCTAAAGTGCTGTCACGAGGTCCGAATTGGGAAACAAATGTGAATGTGAACAAAGTCTATTCAGACAAAGAAAAAAAAAATGTATATCCGAGCGACCTACAACTCAGTGGACTCCCTCGTCTAGGTCTGTAATTTGGTTTACGACTTGTTAATTCCATTACTGAGTAGACAATAATAACGTTATCATATTTTTTCAAAATCTATTGTACTTAAGAGTCTGAGCCAGTGATACATGGAGATGTATTGGTCAGCGTTCTCATTGGTTTGCCAGCTGTCATTTGATGCCAATTGTTCATAAGTGTAATGGTTTGCAGCCAATATTTATCGACTTCAGTCTAGAAAATAAAGAAAAAGGCTGATTAATATCAGCGAGTCTGCAATGTGACATGAATATTGGTGGATGTGGATGTTCGCTATAACAACAAATGTTAAATGATTGCATTGGAGGCTTACTACATTGAGGACCAACTGTTATAATATTTAGGACTTTATTACATTTAGCACAGTTATTACATTTAGGCCTTCAATTAAGGCACTAGACGGGAGTATCGAAACGTTGGGTCTATGAATTGTAACTTCTTCGGTTACATTCATTAAATCTGTAAACCAGAGCAGCATCAAACCATGTCTGATTGTCCACCTGGTTGCCATGTGAACTTTAATATATTTTATAAGAATGATATCATGAAACATAAAGAGGGTTGATTCCTTATTTGTTAACAATAAAAGGCTTACATGGAGATTATTTGAGATTTCTTTCTGTTATTCCGCGAAAAGATTCGATCGAGACATTGTCAACCATGCTCCTCATCAAAATGTTATTAATTGTGTACTTTTAAATGAGGAAATGAATAAAGTCTTTTTTTTTCGACACATGAGCAATCGAAAAAGCTTTTTGAATGGATTAAGTTCCATTGTCAAAAATTCATAGTCTGACGCTCAAATCTCAAGCTATAGTGCGTGTTTTAGGAGAAACAGGCTTATCAGAATGGTCACTCCTAGAGTTCACGAGGAGATATTTCTCAACCAACACTCCCTGGAGAAAAATTCTGAAACAATTACGCAAGTAAAAACGACTACCGAAAGAAAAAACTATGAATATTTTTTTTGGTTTGTTTGTTGTGTTTTTTTTTTCAATTCTTGCCTCTATTGAGAGTAACGATATTTTGATTACCATTGATCTGCATAATATTTTCTCCTTTTGGTAAGATGTAGACCTTCTTAACACAAATGTATCCAGCGCTCGTTTCTTCGACAAGGAGGAGACTTTTAGATTAATTGAGATGTTCTTTTATTAATCTTCGGATCGATACAAAGCTATATGAGCATTACGAGGGTTATTTGTGCGTGTTCTAATTTTTTTTTTTTTTTTAACGAACTTAATTTAGGATATACATAGTTCTAAGCTAAGAAGCAACAATTCGATGACGACTCAGATCTCAAAGATTTCAGTGCCACTTTCATGGTTATTGCGAGGCTGGACATTAATTTTCCTTGGCAATATCACCATGGAGGTTTCATGTACTTGAGAAGCTCGCTTTATGCTTGTTACTTCAACTGCAGTTGGGGTGACACGAATGATCCTTCTCTTGAAGCGAGATCTAATCTGTATGAATAAGTTGATATCAAAACGATCTCAAGAATTGTACAACAAAACGTGCTTCGAATAAATACAACCATCGAGCTGAATTGAGTTTCTTATTTCAAAGTGGAAGCTTTCGGGTTAAAAATCTGAGCAAAGTTCTAAATTACAAAGAAACTTCTTAATAAAATTTAATAGCATACCTCTGAGTTTCTCACGCAGTGAAGGAGAAATATCAAAAAGCCCTGTTAAATCACAATACAGGAAATCACGTTAACGCCTTTAGTAGATTCAAAGCGCTTTCATCCAAGCCCTCCAACTTCAACCCTTTCAAGATTAAATTTTGCTGGGTAGCAAAAATGTCCAAACCTTTACTGCTATTAAGCATAAGTTCTCTACTTTGTCTCTGTATTACACTAAGTTCACCACCTGGTAAATTTGTAAGGAAGGGGTAGTACAACTTCATGCCTTCACGGGGCACTTTTCACGCGCTTCAGGAATATTGAGAGGAATATAATTAGATCAAGAAAACTTTTATCATCTCAGGTATTCGATTGTGAGGCCGTTAGTGTTCTCTTGTCATGTCCTAAATCGACTTAGTTTCAATAAGCAAAATTGTGATTACTGATACAAAATAGATATATGTTTTGTTTTATTGAGGTTTGGTTTTTACTCTGGAAAACTGAGTTTCGCTTTTTCATATAATTGTAAAGAGGGTCGTTTTTTAAAAGACAAATCTTAGAATCATGATCTGTTTTTCCCTTTTTTTTTTTTTTCAATCCTACAATTCCCATGAGTGACCAAGAGAGAAATTCTCCTTACAATATCAATACAAAATCAAGAAGACAACTGATGAGAACCAAGAAAAGTATCAATTAGGGGATTATTAGCTGATCCAATTCCAAATTCTCAGAAGTAAAATCAGAAAAATTGTATAGCAGACAGTGAGGAGAATTACTAATAATATCTTGGAAGTTAGAGGGCTAAACGCTGTTTTCTAAAGAATGCTGTTACTGTTAAGAGTTCATCAGCCGCGTAACGTGTGTTTTTTCAAGTATGAATTAATGAAATAATGTGAGAGTTATTTTTTTTGTCAGGAGAGACGAGTTCTTAATAGACATGGGTTAGGTGAACCTGTGCCCTGAGATGAGGTGCACTCTGAGCACTGACTTTAATCTTTGTCAAGATGCATACTTGAAACAGAAATATCTCAATCAGAGTTAAATCCACCAACCGCCCTTTTAGTTTGGTACCGTATGAGCACGGATTTCATTCACTAAAAGCTGTATTCAGTTTACCTGAGTGGAGTTGAAAATTGTGAAAATGTATGCAAACGCTTTATGCAGGGGCGACAGAAGACCAAATAGCCACGTGATCCCAAGCAAAGGAATCATCACCACGCATGCCCTGACACCAAGCCTATAAAATCACGAAAAAAGAAAATCAAGAGAATTTGCTTTTACGAACAAGTCTCTGAATGAATCAAACATCTTGGGAAATGAAAATTTTCAACCCCCTTCAAATTTTCCATGCGGTTAGGCGCTCAGAGGAAATGCACAAAAATGCTCTCTTTGAAGGTCGCAGCACTCTTATTGCCATGGCAACAACGACTGCTTGTTCGAGGCCTGAAGCCTCATTGTCATACAAAACCGTCGCAAAAAGAGTGAAATGATTATTTTTCTATCTCAAGCTAAATAAAACATTACAAGTTGGCACTTCTACCATACATAGTAACATCCTCGCCAAATTATGCAATATCTGATTTTTGATTGCCCCTATGGAAAGTAGAGGCAGGCCCGCAGAAATATTTTTCCATATTTAAAACTACAATATTATAACCAGCTAGTTGGCTAGTTTCAGTTCCATAATCAGTGTACGTTTGGAGAAATTTATATAAACGTTTTCCCTGCTTTACCCACGTGTCACTTTGAATAATAGAAGTACCATCTTGTAATGTTGTACTTAGCTTGAGATAGAGATAGAGAAATAAACATTTCACTCTTTTTTTGCGACGTTTTTGTATGAAAATGAGGCCCCAGGCCTCGAACAAGCAGCCGTTGTTACTATGGCAAAAAGAGTGCTGCAACCTTCAAAAAGGGCATTTTTGTGCATCCCCTCTGAGTGCCTAACTGCATGTAAAATTTGAAGAAGGGTTGAAAGTTTTCATTTCCTAAGATGTTTCATTCTTACAGACTTGTTCTTACCATTGTTGTGAGTTGGCATTATTCGTATAAGACAACAAAGTATGAGGCTAATGGCTTATATAAATCTACCACTGGCGCCAACAAACAAAATTACAAACTGACAAAAGAAAAAAACAAAATGACAAAATTAAATGGGTTAGGCTGTTTATATCTTTATTGCCTCCACCCCTCCCCCCTCTCCCCAGTTGCTATAAACGTGCTGGTTATCATTTTTTTCTTTTATTATTTCGAAACTCGATTTTCCCTCACGAAATGGAAAGGTCTCTGCGGGTAAAGATGTTTGACTTTGATCCTTTTGGGAGGTTTTAATTTGCAGCAGGCAAATACACTGGTCATTCTGAGCAAGATGTCGCGCGAGTGCCAACACTCAGTCGGTTTGCTCTTTGCTGTCTTTGTTGTCATCTTCGTTTCTCCAGCAAGTGATGTTATGTCGATACGGTTTCCTTTATATAGCCGTAAAATGGCTGAAAGGGGATTATTGACGTGAAATATCTATTTTACACTGATAACAACGCGGGTTAGAAGAAAATAAAGAGGGAAAGGAACGAGGGAGGGGCGCACTCAGAAGCAATAGAACAGTTTACCGGATCGCAAATAGAGGTTACATTACAATTCTTGGACAACTGCAAATAATAATACCTTGTATTTGAACGCGTCTTTATTTATGTGGGTCGAGGACTTGAAAGCAGAGAGCTTTAAGATTTGTTTGAGAGAAGCCAAGATCTTCGATGGTCCAAACAAAAACTTAAAAATAGTAGGCAACCCCGAATTTTTCTAAGGGCTGTTCATGGAATATTTTTGAGCAGTATACAACTTGCCATCTCCGCAGCATATTTACGCCTTCTGTCAAGTAAGTCATATTTATCCGGATCGAATGGAAGCTCAGATTTGTGTCAAAACGTTTAACAGCGATTCCAACAATAAGGACGTCATCACCGTTGACTACATGGTGACTGGAGGTGAGCAGAAAGTGTCATGGCTATTTTCATGCTAATTTTCATGCTAATTTCAAGAAGACTAAGTTTTCACTGTTTTGAAAAACGAGGTATTTGCACAAATTTTAGCTACTGCACGTCAATCAAATTATAACTCTGTAGAGCGTAGCTGTAATTCTTAACTTAAGGCTAACATCTTATTCTCTGATCGTTTTTTCCTTCCGACTTGATACCTAATGGCAATGCCGTTAGGATGCTGGTTACAAAACGCAGTTAGCTACAAACAGGGCTCAGGTAAATTCATTGACATAGTTAAAATCATGTTTAAAATACTTCAAAGTCAAACGCTGAATACAACATTTGGATACCTTTTCCAAAACACTTATACTCTCTTAGTACTTGAACAAGTGAGATGGGAGTTGCAAATATAGGTTGCCATTATTACTGTTTGTGCAAAGCTTTCGGGCCTCATGATGTTAGATGCGTCTCTGTGGAGAGTTCTCGTTCATACCAAGAACCTTTCTGCTCATCAAACGGTTCAACATGTTGGCTTCAAGTAGAACACTTTAGGACAGCTTAAATACACTAAGCCGCTGGTCTCGTTGTCTGTTTTCTGCATTTTGAGATGCTGAGTTTGATAAAAGCACATGGCATTTTTTTTTTTTCATTTGTGTTTTCGAGCTTATTCGGTTTCTCCATGATCTAGGCACGAAAAACTTGTAAGTACATCGTATATCTATCTATTTTGTTTGTTAGTTTCTTTGTTCGCTGTATTATTTCTTAATTTCAGTGAATCGTTCGTTGGTTAATCGTTGGTTAGCTAGTTTATTTGTTCGTTCTAGTTCATTCGCTCGGCGTGATGGAAGTTTGTTTGCCAATTTACATGGAATAATAATACAGTTCAACGCATATCAAAATATTCAGTTGTCCTTGATCACGCAGTAGAGACACTGGCTCTCTACACAACATATGACAGTGTATGTCTGTTTCAACAGGAAATGTGTATTCTTCGACTTAACTACACTGTACAGCACCCTGGTAACTGTGAAGGTGAGTTATTTTGAATAAATACTTGCTTCCTAGAACTTTCTTTGTCAGAAAATCCGTCTCCAAACACCTGCAGAGAAAATAAGAGCGAAAGTGTCACTGTTATTGTCAGTGTCAGTGCTAATGGCACCATCGGTGTTCAAAGCAAATCTTGTTGCTGGTTTTCATGGTTATCATGCTGCTGATTGTCATTTCGACTGGTGTCAGCAATAATGTCCGATTCTCGTTTTGGTGTCTGTGGTGCAGAAGCAGTTTTAGCGCCAGCAGAAGTGACATTGTCCTCTTGTTAACAACGCTTTCTGTTATAGGGGCGCTTTTGGAAACAATGGCCTTATCTTGTGATTTCAGTGAGTGATAGAGATGGTTGGGACAATAGCTTTAAATTAGACAAAAGTGAATTCAGATTACGCCAAGTATTTTTGAATTTATTTTTTCTAGGATTTCCTTTTTAGAGAGGTCGTCAACACATGCCGTAAATCCCCTTCCTTGGTTATTTCCATTGTGAAGTCATTTGCCTCAGGCCATTTGTGTTTTATCCTGATGAGGCCCTCGGAGTTCAAGTCACGGTTAATCATACTGAAACTAGTGACAAATCTTATGTATACGATGCCGTTGTGTCCTGGGTTGAAAATGTCAACTACGATAGATTTACTGCATGTATGATGGCGGCCGATTACAACGAAAGACACGCAAATGCTAATGTGACAGTTGATTGGATGGTTTACCAAGGGACACCAGTGGGTGGAGTTGCTGATGAAGTGCGGTTATCGCAATGGTGGACTGGAACGACTTGTAAATCTGTCAGTTTTCTCTCGGTCGGTAAAATGAATTATCTTATTATAAATGTTCTAAAAACGAAGAGAAGTTTCTCCGAAAAACTGGAGCCGTGCTCAGCTCGCAGTTACGACCTTGCATGATTCATTCATTCATTATATATACCTAAAGAGATGAAGTCGTTTAACTTAAGTGTTTCAGAAGCCACAGATGTTTTCACACACAAATGGTATTAACTACAATAGTGTCGGCCTCATACCAAAATCTTCAAAAGAAAATGGCTGGCAAAAAAATTTCTCAGGCAAATTTCACCGTCACGAAAGACTCACGCGTTTGTTATCAACATTTCGAACGACATTATTACGAACGGGATCTTAGGTCCGAGATGCTTCGAACACCCGGGAAGTACAAGTTGGAGGAGGATGTTGTCCCAAAAATCCCGGGCTATTTATGGTGAAACACTCGATCGACCTTAGTGTCAGTTATCAGGGGAATCAAATTCGCCAATAAAATATAAACAATTCTCCATAACTTGTTGCAGGAATATCTGTATCTTGTGTTTCAGTATGGATCTGCGTGTGAAGAGATAGCATTACCTTTTTGCCAGTTTTCTTCCTTCTGAAAGCCCTTCAACTCTGGACAACTTCAAATAACCAGAAGCGAAAGAAAATAAATACCAAGAATTTATCTTATTCCTCTAAGGCTACCTAGAAGTAAATGATAATAAAATGACGATTTTACGCTTCAGTTTCTGTTCCTCTGAGAATTGCTACAAGGTAGCACTGTTGTTGCTTTTGTTGGTATTTTAACATGTAAAATTAAGACCACAAGAATATAAAACGTAAAGAGGGTTGATTGCTCATTTATTGACAACAAAAGGCTTACACCGATATTATTCGAAGTTTCTCTCTGTTATACCGCGAAAAGATTCGATCGAGACATTACACGCTCCTCATTAAAATGTTATTAATTATGTACTTTTGAATGAAGTTTTGGACATATGACAAATTGAGAAAGCTTTTTGAATGGATTAAGTTCCATTTCTCAACCGCCACTCTCAGGGGAAAAATTCTGAAACAATAACACGAATAAAAACGAGACTGCCGAGAGAAAATACTATGAATAGTTTTTATTTGTTTTTGTTTTTATTTGTTTCTTGGTTTGTTATTGATTAATTCTTGCCTCTATTGACAGTAATGATATCTTGATTACCATTATTGGTCTCCATAAAGTTTTTTTCCTCTCGGTGGTGGGTTATGTTTCTTTCCTCTCATGGTAGGTTATGATGTTTCATTATTCTGTAAACTGATGTCTTGGATGTAGACCTTCTTAACATTAGTGTATCCAATGCCCTTTTCTTTCCACAAGGAGGAGACCTTAAATCATGATTACTTGAGATGTTCTTTTCTAACTTTTCGTATCGATACAAAGCTGTCAGAGCCTTCTTAAGCTGGTTATCTATACCTTCTCTAGAATTTTCTTATCGAACTTAATTCAAGATATACACAAATCTGAGCTAAGGAACAACACTACTTGGACTACTCAGATTTCACATATTTCAATGCCACTTTCATGGTTATTGCGAGGCTGGACATTCATTTTTCTTGGCAATCCACGTTGATACTTTCATTTACTTGCGAAGCTCGCTTAACACCCGTTACTTCATCTGCAGTTGGGGTGACACCAGTGATCCTTCTTTTGAAGCGAGATCTAATCTGCATGAATAAGTTGATATCAAAACGATCTCAAGAACTGTACAACTCTATGTGCTTTGCATTTATACAGTCATAGAATTTAACTTCTTATTTCAAAGTGGAAGCCTTGCCAGGTAAAAATCTGAGCAAAAAATCTAAAGCTTATAAAGAGACTTCAAAATAAAATTTAATAACATACCTCTGAGTTTCTCACACAGTGAAGGAGGAATATTATGAAGCCCTGTTAAATGGCAATTTCAGAAATCACATTAACGCCTTTTGTAGATTCAAAGTGCTTCCATACAAGCTCCCTTAACCCTAAACCTCTTAGTATTAAATATTGCTGGGCAGCAAAAATGTCCAAACCTATACTGCTATTAATTATAGGTTCTCTACTTTGTCTCTGTATTACACTAAGTTTACCACCTGGTAAACTTGTAAGGAAGGGTTAGTACAACTTCTTGCTTTTACGCGGTACTTTTCACACGATTCAGGAATATCGAGAGGAATACAATTAGATGAAGAAAACTTTTGTCATCTCGGGTATTCGATTGTGAGGCCTTTAATGTCATGTCCTAAATCGACTTAGTCTCAATAAGCAAAATTGTGATCATTGATGCAAAATAGATATGTGTTTTGTTATATTAAGGTTTGGTTTTTACTCCGGAAAACTCAGTTGCACTTTTTTATATAATTGTAAAGAGGGTCTTTGTTTTTATGAACAAATCTTAGAATCATGACCTGATTCCCTTTTTTGTGTCTTTTTCAACCCTCTAATTCCCATGAGTGACCGAGACAGAAATTCTTACAATATCAATACAAAATCAGGAAGACGAGTGATGAGAACCAAGAAAAGTATCAATAAGGGGATTAAAAGCTGATCTTATAACAAATTCTCGGAAGTAAAATCAGAAGAATTTAGAGGAGACAGTAAGGAGAATTACTAATAATATCTTGGGAGTTAAAGGGTTCAACACTGTTAACTAAAGAACGCTGTAACTGTTAAACTTTCATCAGCCACGTAGCGTGTGTTTTCCAAGTATGTCTTAATGGGATAATTCGAAAGTTGTTTTTATGTCAGGAGAGACAAATTCTTAGTAGACATGGGCTGGGTGAACATGTACCCTAAAATGAGGTGCACTTTCAGCACTGACTTTTACCTTTGTCAAGATTCATTCTTAAATCAGTGGTGAATCCACCAACCGCCGGTTCACCTTCGTACTGTATGAGCACGGATTTCATTCACTAAAAGGTGTATTTAGTTTACCTGAATGGAGTTGAACATTATGAAAATGTACGCAAACGCTTCTGCAGGGGCGACAGAAGACCAAATAGCCACGTGATCCCAAGCAAAGGAATCATCAACACGCATGCCCTGACATCAAGTCTATAAAATCATGAAAAAAAGAGAAAATCAACTTGTTGTGAATTGGCATTATTCGTGTAACATAGCAAAGTAAGAGGCTAAGGGCTTAGATGCATCTTCTACTGACGCCACAAAAATACTTACCTTATTTGTTCACTGATTTTGTCTTTTGCATGCTGCATGTTTGTCATCTCCTTGATAACTCGCACCAGTATCAATGTGTTTAACTGAGAACAGAAGAAAACGAGACAAAACAAAAAACAATCTAACTATACAAAGGAAAGAGAAGTTTGCACTTGAGCTAAGTTCTCTTAGTGGCCTCATTGGATGTTCGTCAAAAGTTGAACCCTTCCCCTCCTCGTCATTCCATCAGACATTTCCCAGGTTTCCTTGACCATTGGTTGGTGAATATCCATAAAGCTGGGAGGAGAGGGAGAGAAGCATTGTGAACGCAAAATGTTTCGCCTAACAACACAAAACAACAAACCAGGAGAGACTCGAGCCAGGACTACTCGACCTGAAAATCTTTCGCGGTAACCGCTGACGGGATCTTCCTACAATAAGGTCACTTCAAGCAAAATTCATATTTCATACATACATTATCAGCTTTCGTTGGCAACTATTGATTAGAGTCTAGATTAAAAAAGCGGCGGGCGAAAAAAAATGCTCACGATGGAACGATAACCAAAGGCAAAGCGTGAAAGAGGGGAACGAAAAAATTATAAGAATTTAACCTACCAACTCGATTAGTACAACGAATAGAACAAATATCCAGATCATGCCGTTAGAGGTTGACATCCAGCACCTGAATAAAAAATGAAGTATCCGAAACTTTGATAAATTATCAATTAATTAATAATTTTTTTGCGCATGCATGTACGCAGTACCCTCCATATCGGGTTTGATGACTAGTAATAAAAGGCAACAAAGAAATAACAAAACAACAACAACAGCAGCCACAAACCAATCAATTAAACCAAAAAAACAAACAAACAAAGTACAACATAAAACGAGGATTCGTGAAAGGGAAAACACACGAGGAAAAAATCATTCACTTCTTACAAATTTTCACTGATATAGCTTTTAATCCCTGGCCCGGTTCCTGCTGCAATGCCCAGCGATATGGAAACAACGACGGCGGGTAGACCTGTGGATTCGAAATTTGAAGTGACAACAGAGTCAAATGATGATATCTAAGATGATAATGGCGATGGTAATGTTCATGGTAATTAATGTCTTACTTTTCAAAAGATTTTCAAATTGAGAATGGGTTTTTAATTCATAGTTACCCCATGAAAATCCATGTGAAACCTTCATCTTGTCGTTGATATTGTAAACTTTTACAACAGACAGGTAGAAATAAACTCCCTCCATCAACATCCAGCAGAAAGCGGCCATTAGGAAATATTGCACAAAAGCACAGGAATGAAAAAGTTGAGTTAAGATTTGGATTAAGGTCATAAAGATTTACTGAAAGAGATTCTTCTCTTCTTACCTTGTTCTCAACAGCACCACTTCCAGTTAGGAAGGTAATTTGACCTGCACCAAGTGAAGCGACTAGGCTCACTCGAATCTGAGATAAAGGTCTCCTCATGTCTCTAATCAAAAATAAACAACTGATTTTATTCTACATCAGTTCAATTCTCATTTTATACAAAGTCTGATTATATTTTTATGATTCTACTTGGCTGCTTAAATAAATCTAAACTTTACACATTTAAACTGCTATAATCTCTTGGTGGTCTACATGCTCAGCTTGCTTTGGAATTCTTGGGTGGAACTATGTCATGTACTTACGTAAGAACAGCATAACTGATGATTGTTAAAGTGATTCCAACCAGAGAAAAAGATAAGACGGATTTATTTCACATCGCTAATTCTGTGATGTAAATTATTATTGAAACTGTAGGAACCAGGTTTCCTTGTATTACTGAGCACGGATCATTTGGACCCGTGTGTTTACTGGCCAATGTTTTCAAAACAGCCCTTGTTGGCTTTCACCAAGTGAGAAATGAGAGACTTGAAGATTATCCATCAAATGAGTAAGCAACGACAGAATAAACTTTTTTTTCTCACAAAACTCACGCATAAAAAACGCTTAAGTTGTTTGCAAGTTAACCTGATACAAACCGAAAAAGAAAGACAGCGGCAGTTTATTGTCAGCTATTTTATTAAAAGTGTTGTTGTAATCTTTTGAAGGGCCAACTTCACCGTAATATTTAACTGCAAATAGACCCTTAAGAAAATTACCATACAAGCTACTTTGGGAAAATAAATATAGGATATCTGCCGTTCTAGGTTTGTTTCATATATATAAACAAAGCCTCATGTTACATGAAGAGCGTTAGGAAGTCTCCCGTTGTCGAACATTGACTAGCTTATGATAGCTTGGCGGAGAAGAATTTGTTTGTTTTAACTGCATTTCTCTGGGTTCCGTTCCGAATCGAACAAAACGACAATTATTTTCGAATTCCTGTACCACATGCAGCCAAAAGCCTCCTTAACACATCGAGTTTTTTAAAAGTTTACATATTTAAAGGTCACCATACTACTTTTAAATACTCACCAACCACTAGTGCAAGAAAAACCATTCTCCAGACCAATTTAGCTAGAGTTTTCTTTCGAACTTTTAGATATGAATTCGGCATTTTTAGGATCACCGTCTCGTGAAACAATGACGAAGGTATTGGTGTGTGTTCAGTGACGTTGGGCAGACGTTAGACACAGAGATACGTTAGATCTTGAGCGATCAAGGAAATAAGCAGAGACCAAACTAGGCGTGAGTTTCTAAACTCATTATTCCTTGAGTTTGGTGGCAATAAATTGACCAGCTGGGTCCTTATTTTCTTTATAAATTCAGACAATATTAATACCAAGACATGACTAGAGTTATATCTCATATACGAAAGTGTCACGGAAACCACTAAGAAGTGGCAGGTGGCAACTGCTATTGTCTTAATTTGAATTAGCAGATGACAAGACAAAGAGACAAAGAGAGCCTATGGCCAATCAGAAAAAACTTTATTTAGTTAGAGCTAAGAAACCGTCTTTATTAAACAAAAGAACAGAACTCGTTTCTAAGTGCCGCCACGAGAATAAGTTTTACTTAACAAATTTCACAGGCCGCCCTATCGAATCTTTATTTCACACGTAGATCAGATCATCACACTAGTGAATTAATTAGCTACTCATCCAATTTGCATATAAGGAGGTATGTTCTTCATTGAATAAAGTTCTGTCTGACGAGCGCTTAGGCGCGAAACTCAGAGTAACAGAGAATCGATGCGTCCTCTTTGATTCTTTGATGCGCTGATCTTATAGTTTCTGCAAATTACAGTTATCAATTTGCATTTGATATGCCCTCCATCTTGGCTCGAATGGAATCATAAATTGCCTAGCCTCGCATATTTAAATCGCAAGTTAAATTACAATTGCAGTTTCTCGCTATTCTAATATCTTTCGCCAGTTCTTTTTTATTTATTTTATTTTATTTATCTATTTACTTTTTTTACCTCGATTTTCTTACCAGGCGCAACTCGTGCATTTCTTCTAAACATCTGGTTGGTGCAGTTCACGGAGCTGTCTTACATTGTATTAGCATTCTAAAACTGAAATAAAGCGAATGAAACTTAGATCGACCACCTCTGAAATTTTCATCGAGTAATTTTTCAATTTTCCTCTAATACATGTAATTCCGTGTTTCAAAGCGATTTCCTGGCCTCAAGAACTTCATTATCAGAAGACAAGAGTATATGCCGTCAAGAAATTAATTTAATTGTTGATCGACTCGATCTGGAATCGAGGATAAATAATTCTTCTCAAATAAAATCTTTGTTTCTAAAGTGACAATATTTTAGTTTTTACTTAAAAAACCGCGCAGAGCCCGCGACGGATTTATTCCACATTGCTAATTGGACAGTACTGTTTCGGCCTTCTGGGCCTCATCAGTGCAGTGCTGATGCTAGGATGGAGGTAAGGCTATATAGCCACCCCAAGTGATCTCACACATGTGGTATCATCTAAGCCATGCCAGAGTGCTCAAACTAGATAAACTAGTGAGCATGCATAATGCTAGCAGCAATGACTCATCCTAGTAGAGTGCTCAATTTGGACATGAAAGCAAAAGCTTTGTATACCAAAGAGCTATATAAAAATTAGCTAAGCTGACAGCGGATAGCAATTGAAGGGTTTTAAACAAGGATTTTAAACATTACTCTATTGGTATCAAAGGAAAATATAACATTTCATTTTAATGCCGACAAAACGAGAATTATTAGTTCAAGGATACAGAGGAAAACGAGAAAACGAAAAATTAAGACGGACTCAAGGATGTGATAGTCATTGCTAATTCTTTTACTAGCGTCATCAAACGTCTGAAAGGCCTTCAATCATAAACCTACTGATGGAAAATTCTGTCATATTTCAGCATTGTACTAAAGCGCCTTGGCCTCATACTTCCAAAGAAAACTTCATAATTTCCACTTGACGTACGGCGCTTATCAAATTTACATAAAATAACGGTTAAATAAGTCATTTTGTACAAAAAAATTGAAATACAACCCACTTCAATCATACGGAGAAGTGTTTCTGTCATCCTTGCGTGTAATTATTAAAGTAGATGTATCCGAACCATGCTTGCGGCGCATAAATATAGTCTTAAAAAGCCAAATATTCCTCTATTGGATGTATTACTATTATCGTTATCATTTTAATGAAAAAAAAAAAAAAAAATATATATATATATATATATATAACTAATTGCAGACAGTACTTTTTTTTTTTTTTTAATATAAAAGCCTGGAGACCATGCAGTTTTATTTCGTCAATGATATCTATTTACAATTCTAATTGATTAAAGTATTCGAATTCAATTATGAGTTATTTAGGTAATTACAGGTCTCAATTAACTAATGATATTTTCTCTCACAGGCGGCACGAACAGCGCACGGGCTATAACAGCCCGGAGTAAGCGCCCACCTGTAAGAGGTAACAAAGTTCTATTTAAAAGTTTTCTATTTACTATTTACAAAGAGATATTTCAGACCATGTGGGGCGCAAACAGCGCGCGGGCCTGTAGCCCGGAGTAAGCACCCCTCATGGGCGAGATTTAACAAGTTTTATTATATACAAAGGTTCAGGGGGGAGCAAGAGAGGGGAAGAAGATGGGCTTACCAGCGTCGACCGAACAAAGTACGTTTTTAAAAGACCAAAAATTCCTTAAGGTATCAGTGTCGTTACTAAGAATTCTGAGTTGGACATCTTTCTTAATTAAGTCTATAATCGCGTTGGAGCTCAAAAGAGAACCTTCGAAGGTAGCTTTATTTCTGGCAAGCCAACACCAATATATGATGGTTGCCTTGAGAAAGTTAGATAAGGATATAGCGGTGGTAGATTTGTCTAGGGAAAAAGGGTAGTAGACAGATGTAGGGGAGATAGAGAAGGGGGAGTCGAGTAGAGCACGGAAAAGGGGGGAGAAGTGGTCCCAGACTTTCACAACTCTGGGACATCCCAAGAAGCAGTGTTCAATAGTTTCCGTTTTTCCGCAGATCGCGCATTTGTCACTATTGATGTATCCCCAAGACTTAAGGAGATATCTTACGCGGATCATTCTATGGATCAATAGCCAAATTAGATCGTTCTTCTTGTTTTCAATTAGCTTTAGGCGAGACTTGCGCCACACCCAGGCCCAACGATTGATGGGGCGGTCCATAGCAGACGCCCAAAAACCGGAGCACCGGGGTGCAACGCAGACGGGGTCAAGCAACAAAAGATATAAATTCTTACCGGTGAGTAAATCAGGTAAGGCACCAGTTTTCTGATGCAAGGTACGGAAATTATCTAGACAAAGGCGGTAGTAATTGGAAGGAAGGAAGGAAGAGGGAGCAGAATTGGTGGGAAAAGAAAAACGGGGATCTAGAATAGTTAGCTTATGTCCTAAAAAATATCGAGCTAGGTAATGCCATTTGGATGTGCCAAAGTCATCTCTTAAACTGGAAAAAACAGAAAGGCGCAGGCTAGCGCACTTAGCTTTAAAATTAACGACGTTGAGGCCCCCGGATGATGGGGGCGCACAACAGCGATCGCGACTAACATTTTCCATTTTTCCTCTCCAGATAAAAGGCCAAATGATCGACTTAAAGCTATCGTGCACCCAACGGGGTGGGGGGATGACTTTAGCAACGTGCCATAAACGGCTTGCGCCTAAAGTATTTACAATTAAGGTCCTACCGATAAAAGACAGGTCTCTTTGTTTCCAAAGATTTAGAACCGAACTTAGTTTGTCTAATTTGGCCCGCCAATTGTCGTCGTCGACATTGACGAGGCCGTTTGAGAAATAAACACCAAGCACTCTCATTTTAGTGACCCATTTGAGGCCATAGGGAGATTCAATTCTAGTTCGCCATTTTCCTAACCACATTGCTTCAGATTTGGACGTGTTCAGTTTAGCGCCAGATCCTTGTTCAAATTTTGATACGACTCGGAGAAGTGAAGAAAGAGATCTTTCGGATTTTAAGATGCAAGTAGCATCGTCAGCGTACTGGGATATTTTATATTGAAGGCCCCCTGCTCCGGGGAGCAGGAAACCTTCAATAT